GAACGAATATCTGGAAAGGGCTATTTTCTTTGTCTTGCGTGTTTCAGATGGAAGATGATAACTTCAGTTGGGTATTTTCTGGAGTTTATGGACCCGTTATTGATTGTGTTAGACCTGCTTTTTGGCAAGAACTCAGTTACATTAAGGATTTGTGGCCGTTGCCTTGGTGCTTAGGCGGGGATTTCAATTCTGTTCGGTCTCCATTTGAAAGATCCACAGGGGGGAGGTGGTCTTCAGAGATGACCCAGTTCTCTGACTTTATTGATGGTCACCTTCTTATTGACTTGCCTTTGGAAAGGGCAACTTTCACTTAGTTTAGTGGCAGAGAGACCCAGTTACTTTATCGAGGCTTGATAGATTCCTGATTTCTGGAGATTGGGAGGAGAAGTTTCTGGATGTCACTCAGTCAGCTTTGGTTAGAGTCACGTCTGATCATGTGCCCTTAGTTCTTGATTGTGGAGGCATGAGATCTAGACGGACTCCATTTCGTTTCGAAAACATGTGGTTGAGAGCTGAGGACTTCTAAGGGAAGGTCCAGTCCTGGTGGGAAGAAACAACGCTTACTGGCTCTAATAGCTATGTGCTTGCTAAGAAGTTTCAGACTCTCAAATCTAAGCTTAAGAAATGGAATAAAGAAGTGTTTGGGAATCTTGAATGGAAGAAAAATAGAGTCCTGGCTGATATCGCTGATCTTGATCGTCTTGATGAGACAGGGCAAGATACGGATTCTCTTCGCTCTAGAAGAGCGTCTTGTTAGGCGACTTTTACTGAGATTGCTACTATGGAGGAGATATCGTGGCGTCAGAAATCTCGGGCTTTGTGGCTTAAAGAAGGTGGCCGTGATACTAAATTCTTTCACAGACTTGCTCACGCTCATAGAAGATACGATAATATTGGGCGTATTCGTGTGAATGGTTCAGAGCTGTGGAAAGAAGATGAGGTGCGTGGGGGTATTGTTTCTTTTTATCAGCAGCTCTATACTGAGACTTTGGAATGGAGACCAAAACTTGATGGTTTGCACTTCAATGCTATTTCTATGCTGGATAGTGATATGCTTGAGGTTCCTTTCTCTAAAGAGGAAGTTCTTAAGGCGTTATCCAGTTGTAATTGTGATAAAGCTCCAGGCCAGATGGATTCACTATGCGGTTTCTTAAAGAGAGTTGGGAGGTGGTGCGTAATGAGGTAATGGGCACTTTTCAGGAATTTTATTCTCATGGCACATTTGAGAAATCATTAAATGCATCTTTTATAGCTCTTATTCCTAAGAAGAGCAACGCCTCTGACATTAAGGACTTTCGGCCAATCAGTTTAGTGGGGTGTATGTATAAGCTTATTGCCAAGGTCCTTGTTCTTAGAATGCGGAATGTTTTGGATGGAATCATCTCAGAGTCACAAAATGCTTTTGTTGGTGGTAGATAGATTTTAGATTCTGTTCTTATTGCAGGAGAATGTGTCGATTCCAGGTTGAAGAGTGAAGTTCCTGGTGTTTTATGCAAACTGGATATCGAGAAAGCTTATGATCACGTGAATTGGAAATTTCTTCTTTATTTGCTTCGGAGAATGGGGTTCGGAGATCGATGGATAAAATGGATTGAATCTTGCATCTCATCAGTTATGTTCTCTGTGCTTGTGAACGGCTCTCCTGCTGGTTTTTTTTCTGAGTTCGCGTGGTTTGAGACAAGGAGATCCTTTGTCGTCTTTTCTTTTTCTTATTGTCATGGAGGGATTGAGTAAATTAATGAAAAAGGCAAAGAATCTGGGTTACATAAGGGGGTTCACTGTTGGTAGAGATGTTGCTAACCAGATCGAGATATCCCATTTGTTGTTTGCAGATGATACCCTGGTTTTCTGTGATGCTGATATTTCCCAACTCAGGTATTTGAGGTGCATTCTTACATGCTTCCAAGCAGTGTTTGGTCTTAAGATTAATGTTGGAAAGAGTGCTTGTCCCAGTGGGGGAGGTCTCTAATATTTCCAATTTAGCTGCTGTTCTTGGATGTGGAGTGGGTGCCTTTCCACTCCCTTATCTGGGCTTACCTTTGGGAATCTCCTCTAGGATAGTGGGGACTTGGGATCCGGTGATTAACAGGTATGAAAAAAGATTGGCGGGGTGGAAAAATCAGTATCTTTCAAAAGGGGGGAAGGTCACTCTTATTAAGAGCACCCTCTCGTCCCTTCCCACATATTTCTTATCTCTATTTCAGATCCCGTGTTCTGTTGCTTAACGAATTGAAAAAATTCAGAGAGATTTTCTTTGGGGTGGAAAAGGAGAGGAGTTTAAGTATCATCTTATTAATTGGGAGCAGGTTTGCAAACCGTTGAAGTTTGGCGGTTTAGGTATTCGGAAGTTAGTCCCTTTCAATAGAGCCTTATTGGGGAAGTGGTTATGGAGATTCGGTAAAGAACGTCATCGACAATGGAGAAGAGTTATCTCGTGTTGTTTTGGGGAAGAGAGTGGAGGTTGGTCCTCTCGTCCTGTTTCTATTACCGGGGGCGTTGGCGTTTGGAAGTTCATTCGGAAAGGTTGGGATGTGTTTTCCACCCATATTCGGTTCAAGGTTCGTAATGGTATGTATGTTAGATTTTGGGAAGACTTATGGTGTGGTGATCAATTGTTGTCTCTTTCTTTTCCTCGTCTCTTTAGCATTGCCGAGAATAAGCATGCTTATGTAATTGACTGTTATCATCTTGATAACAGTGGAGTTACGTGGGATATGCGTTTTAGGCGTTCCTTTCAGGATTGGGAGATAGCTGAAGTTTGCGTCTTTTTGGACCTGTTGTATAGACAAAAAGATGTTGGCAGAGGTTGTGATGATATTTTGTGGACTCCCTCTTTTCATGGTAGATTCGAAGTTCGATCCATGTTCTTGTGTTTGTCTAATTTTATTGGTTATGAATTTCCTTGGAAGTGTATTTGGCGCTCTAAAGCTCCTCTTAGAGTTGCCTTCTTTGTTTGGACTGCTACTTGGGGAAAAATTTTAACATTGGATAATCTGCGTAAGAGAGGTAATACCATTGTTAATTGGTGTTGTCTTTGTAAAAATGATGGTGAGTCCGTGGACCATCTTCTTATGCATTGTCCTGTTGCATCTAATTGCTGGAATCTCATATTCAGTATTTTTGGCGTTCAGTGGGTAATGCCTAAGCACTCTTTCCAATTAATTAATGTTTAGAGAAGATGCCCTGTTTCTGGTCATGCTCGTGATTTTTGGAGGGTCGCCCCACATTGTGTTTGGTGGTGTATTTGGAGAGAGAGAAATAACAGAAACTTTGAAGGGAAGGAATCGTCTTTTGCAAACCTTAAGTCTTTTATCCTACGCTCTTTTTTCTGTTATTTCAGAGGCAGCGCTTGCTCCTCGATCGATGACTTTTTTGTTCTATTGGACTCTGTTGGTCCATAGGTTTAGCTTTTGCTCTTTCGTTTTTGTGTATTAGGGACACGTTCCCCTTTTGAACGTCTTTCTAATATATTTTTACTTATAAAAAAAAAGGAGGATTTTTCTCGAATGATTCTTCCATTAAAGGAGTGAAGAGAAATTAAACGTGTAGAACACATAGATATTACGTGGTTTAGCCACTATGGCCTACATCTACGGCACAAAGAGCCCAAAGGGCTACATCACTTTTATAATACTCTCTCAATTCATATACAATACAATGGTAGAGGCTCCTTTATATAGGAGAAGAAATTATGAGAATGCAAAGAATTAGAAAATAGGAAACAAGGAGGATTTTTCTCCACTGATTCCTCTAGTAACACCAAATCTTCAATAATTGGAAACAACATCAATTACTGTAAGATTTTCCTCCACTGATTCCTCCATTAAATCTTCAATATAAGTCAACATTTCATGATGGTGGCAAAGGTGGGGGATTTGAGTTTCTTTCTATTCCTTCAGCACAAAGTGGGTTGTTCTCAATCTTCTTTTCCGTGTCTCTTGATGTTTCTTTCACATTATAAAAGCAATGTGAATCGTGTCACTGAAAGGATCAAAAGAAAGTTAGGCAGCTAGAATGGCCGTTACCTATCCAAACGTGCAAGTTGGAATTTTTGTAGATAGTGATTGGGGATTTTGTTGAGGTGGCAATGTATGTACATTGATTTGGAAACTCAGACTTAGTTGACAGCGGGCAGTTTAGATAGTGAATTTTGCAGTAATGAGCCAAGAGAACGTGCTTAAGGGTCACTGTGACAAAGAATTGCTTAAAGCTTTTGAATGTCAAAGGGGGAAATCGGCCAATACAAATATGGTAAGCATTCTGACTTGGGTACAGAATGGAGTACTCCCTTGGACTTGCCAGCTACATACAGGATGCTATTATTGGGTAAATGCTACCACATGTGTTTTAGCTGACATGGAGGAGATGCCAAGCACAACATGTTTTTCAGAGAGTACACTGCTTTCCTCTCAAATCAGCTAAGAAGCAGCCTGCCACCCATGAAATCACAAGGATGAGGTCCATCACACTAACCTGAAACTTTAGCTGCCAAGGATCTTATAGGTCCAAGGTGTGACAATTGACAACATGTCACATTACTAACATGCTCGTAGAACTCATTGGGCCATATTCCCGAACTAGATAGGTGTCAATGCCTTAGAGCACTTGTGCCTTGGGGAGCCTTTCAAAGGAGGTGAGGTGTTTTTATATGTTTAGGACCAATTTGCACCATGTCGAGGCTCATTATCGAGGACAGTATTGCCTTGTTGCTCTTGGAAGTACTATGGGATTAAGGCAAGGATGACGATGATACCTACTTAGGGTTTTCAACAATAGTTTCAAAAACTTTAGAATGTTGTGATGTATTTTCTTTAAACTGTATAAATATTTTTAATAAAGATTTTTCCCCATATTTTATTGCTTCTCTCATGAATGTGACGGTAGATGAATTTATAATTGCTCCTAGTTTTGCATTTTGTTCCATTTGATAAATGTGACATTGATCTGGTTATTCAAAATTACAAGCGGACAACTAAACATTAAGAAAAAATGTCTTGCAGCGGTGTGTTTACATTGCTTCAGATGGAGGCCGTGTTTGTCGTCCACTTGTTATTGCTGACAAGGGTGTATCACGGATCAAGGAACACCATATGAAGGAGCTGTTGGTAATTGTCTTTAAAGCTATTTGCTCTTAGTAATTTGTTCTCTTGAAGGATGGAACAATTGTTTATTTTCTTGCCTGATCAGTCATTTGTTTTCTTTGAAGGATGGGGTTCGTACTTTTGATGATTTTTTATTGGATGGATTGATAGAGTATCTTGATGTTAATGAGGAGAACAATGCTCTGGTTTGTTCCGCCCAATTTTTTGTGAAATCTCTTCTGTTTTTTAAACACTTTATTTTCTTTGCAGTGGTTCATACTAATATGTTTTATAGATTGCTCTATATGAAGGAGAGGCTACTCCCGAAACAACTCATATTGAAATAGAACCGTTTACCATCTTAGGTGCTTGTGCTGGGCTAATTCCTTTTCCTCATCACAACCAGTCACCCAGAAATACCTATCAGGTATGTTTATGTATTTTCTCAGATTTCTTGGATCATGCATTGCGGTAAACGGAAAATTTTACTTTAAGCTTCTTTTGTTATTTTTATAGTGTGCAATGGGGAAGCAAGCTATGGGTAATATTGCTTATAACCAGGCAAGTGGTCTTTTGACAAAGTTTATGCTGTGTTCATTTTTTCCTTTCTCCAAGAATTCAACACGTTGAAGTTGTGTGGGTAATATAACATTTTTTGTAATGACTAAAATCTTTCTTGGTTTTTCTGTAAAATTTGTGTGCATGTGTATGTAAAACATAGTTTGTAGGCATTATGTATGTGTGTGTTTATATATATCCTGGGATTGTATGAAAGGATTCATATTGTGCTGTGCACCCTAACAACTGGTATAACACAAACCAACCAACCATCTGTTGTTATCTCAAATTCTCGAATAATTTGAAGGATAGATATTTTGAGCTAGTTAGTTTGGTCATAATAATTATGAGATTTTGCATGGTCAGTTTATGTGGTGCCCTTTGCCAATCCTTTTCTACATATGTTACTGTCAATTTGATATTTTGAATTTTGTGCCAATATACCTTCTAAATGCTTTATGAGCATGGATGTCACTGGCCATAATGAGTTGATTGCATCATTCCCTGGAACGTTTTCTGTTCCACCACCCAACATCATTTCACATGGATTTCCCCCTCTTCTCTAAGTAGTATGGAGCAAACAGAGATAGAATCAGTTGATTCCCAAAACGCGTTTAGAGATTGTCTATCTTCTATATATATATATATATATATATATATATATATATTATAACTGTACCACGGAATGCGTTTTGCTGTAACTAATTTGATCATAACATCTTGATTTTGTAGTTATGTCGGATGGACACATTAATCTACCTTCTAGTGTATCCTCAACGGCCATTGCTAACGACAAGAACCATTGAACTGGTTAGTGTGCTGAATGTTGGTGTCATACCCAATTTCAACATGTGAATTGACAAGTTCATTTCAGGTTGGATATGATAAGCTTGGAGCGGGGCAGAATGCAACTGTTGCAGTTATGAGTTATAGTGGCTATGACATTGAGGATGCAATAGTTATGAATAAGTCGTCTCTGGATCGTGGTTTTGGTCGCTGTATTGTCATGAAAAAGTACTTAAAACCTTCACCCCTAAATTTTTAGAGCTGCAATTGTACATCATAATGTCAAATTACTTGTGTTTTTTTCTTTTTCTTTCTTTAAGATATATTTTCTGATGGCAGTCTGTTGTGCTATTTGTGAACAGAATGTCTACCCTAAATCAGAAGTACGAGAATAACACATCAGACAGAATAATAAAACCCAATAGAGATGGACATGATGCGGAAAAGATGCAGGTAATGATTGTTGATGCTTATAATATACACACATTTTGTCACACCCTGAATCTCAAAACCCAATACCCGAGGTTAAGGTGCGGGGTTTAAAGTTTTATGTTGAATTAAAGTTATTCTACTTTTTAAGGGTATATTATTCCTTTTGAGTTTTTATCCAAAAATTTACAATTTGAAATGTCGACCTCCATTTGATTTGAAACTAAAACCAGGCAACTATATACTAATGAGACTTTGTGGATAAAAGTATAATTCAAATCAATTAATGCAATCGGGTGTCTTTAAACCTGTAACAAATTTGCGTATCACGACTTGTTCATGTACTGACCAATACGAACATCCTATGTTCACTAATTTATAGAAAATGCCATAAAGCTTGGACAATGGCATGAAACTCCAAGTTGTAGGTTGTGTACTTGAGCTTCCCCCCAGTAAGCTTCTCACTGAAATATGCAATAGGTCTCCCTCATTGGCTGAGGGCTGCACCAATGCCAACGCCCGAAGCATCACAATCTACCTTAAATACCACCTCAAAATCTGGTAAAGCAAGCACCGGTTCTTCCGTTAGTTTCCTCTTGGGTGCTTGAAAACTCTTCTCCGCCCCTTGGGTCCACTGAAATTTTTTCTTTTCCATCAGTAAGTGGAGCAGCAATGGTGTTGAATTTGCGAATCAAGTGCCTATAAATTGTCTCCAAACAATGTAAACTCCTCATGTCACGCACTATGGTAGGTGTGGGCTACTCAAGAATGACTTTAACCTTGCCATCATCTACCTTAATACGTGCAGGAGAGACCACATAACCCAAAAATACCAATCCTGAAAAACTGCCAAGAAGTGGTTTCAGCACTTTGATCATCACAAGCATGAAAGTGCTAGGTGCATTTGATAAGCCGAATGGCATTACCAACCACTTGTACAACCCATTCTTCATTTTAAACACCGTTTTTCCCTCTTCATCGGCGTAATTCGATTTGATGGTAGCCAATCTTCAAGTCAATCTTTGAGAAGATTGAAGAACCGACAAGCATATCCAGCATGTTATCAAGTTGAGGAATCGGAAATTGGTAGTTGACGTTATTTTGTTGATGGCTCAACTATCCATGAACATATGCTAATAATCGCCTTTCTTTGGAATGAGAAGGGCTGGGACAACACATGGGCTCATGCTCTTGCGAATAAATCCCTTGTTTCGGAATCAATCGTGACTTTTGCATAACCAAAAACTCATCTACATCGATATCATTATCCTCTTATTCCGCCAATTAATCATATTTTGGCTCAACCACCAGGTCTGCATGATCTTCCTCGATCAAAAGTTGTTTTTCTTCTCTACCAAGACATCCTGCAAATTCAGGAATTTCCACCTTAAAGCCACCAATCTCACACCTTTCATCTAGTGGAATTGGTGCTGGTCTGGATGATGCGTTGTTGTGAAAAGGACTGACAAAATCCTCTTCAATATTGTCTTCTCCCTTATGAAACTCAGGAATCTCGAATTTGATATTTGCCGGCCAACGATGCTCGTCGGGTGATCAATTGCGACATGGAATATCGAACGGATTTTCTATGATAGTCTTGGTGTTTGACACATCATCATTCACTCATCGGGTGATCTATCTCGTCTTCTTGTTGCTAGGGTAAGGGCCGGACCCTGCATCATACGAGTTCCTCCTCTTGGTTGTTGTTGTGGAGGCATGATTCAGCAGTCGGAAAGCCGAAACTGAAGTTCTGATACCAAACTGATGCTGCTTTACCAAGAGGAGACGATCAAATAGTCTTCACAACAATTTTGAAACGAAATAAAAGAACGATGCCAAACGAAAAGAATTTGCTTTAAAATTAATGTCTTCAATTAAACCCTAGCAATTACAAGACACCTTAGATTAGCTAACTACCAAATATAAATTAAAATCAAAATAGAAATGTTGCTGAAAATAAAGGAAAATTGCTGAAAATTTAGAAACAAATCAAAACTTCCTATAAATTTCTGGTTCTCCTTGCCCTTCCTCCACTTTTTTTCCCCCTTTCAGGTGTTCCCAATGTTTTAGGAAACTTTTAACTGGGTCCACTACTAAATCATTTCATTTCAATATTGCTGTGAAGACGATTTGATTGTCTCCTCTTGGTAAAGCGGCTTCACCTTTCACCTTTACTTTGACTTCCTACTTCTAAAACCTTAAACCATAAAAAAACTTGCTATCCAAATGTCCACAAGCTAACTATTTTCAGTTCCTGTAACTAACACTGCTAATCCCTAAAGTTGTGGGCCTTGAATAACGTTAGACCATGAAAATGATTATGGACAGCATTATTTGAAGCTCCTGGTGCTATCTTAAATATATTTTTTGTGACATCTTGGAAATCAGAAGTTGATTCCCTATTAGAATAAAGCAGGAGTGGAGCTGCTATTGTTATGGCATTGTACCTCTATGATTTGTGTGATGTTGTGGCTTGAATTTGGTGTCGGATCACATTGCGACCTGCTTTTGACCCGTTTTATTGCTTGTGGACCGTGGACCCTAATTAGTATTCTCTTGTAGCCCGATATATAAGGGAATTTAGGGTTTGGAGTGGGTAGAGAGAGAGAGACTGAAAATCATACAGAAAGAGAGGGTTGAAACATGTAAATCTCTGATTTTACACGTAGTGAAGACTTTCGCCGGATCTCCATTGTGGACATAGGCTTTGCCGAACCACGTATAAATTTGTGTTCTTTGTGTGGTGTGTTTACTTTTCTATCGTGTTTCGTGATTGTTGCTTGGGTTCATTGCGTTTGTTGTAACAATTTGTTTCTGCAAATATACCATTCTATAGTTAACTAGCTGCATATGTTACCATTTTTATAGATATTGGATGATGACGGGATCGCTGCACCTGGAGAAATCATTAGACCTAATGACATCTATGTCAATAGGGAGAGTCCAAAAATTACAAAGGGGCCACCTTTGCCACACGGATTGCCAGATGGGTCAGTATTTGCTTTCTGATGGAAATGTTTAATTGGTGTTCTGTTGATACCAGTTTAACTTACCTTGTGCAACATCCAGTGCATATAAACAAAGTAGACAAATTTACAAGGGTCCTGAAGGAGAGGCAGCTGTTGTTGATAGAGTAGCTCTCTGCTCCGATAAGAATAACAATTTGTGCATTAAATTTATGATTCGCCATACGCGTAGGCCAGAGGTAACTAATTCTAATCTGCTTCAACTTTGGATGTTGAAATTAATGTGAAGGTTTGGGTTCCCTTTTTTAATGGAAAATTCATTTCACTCAGTTTGTCACCTTATTCTATTTTGCTTCAACATGGGATGTGGAAATTAATATGTAGGTTTTGGTTCCCTTTTTTAATGGAAAATTCGATTCACTCAGGTTGGCGACAAATTTAGCAGTAGACATGGGCAGAAAGGTGTTTGTGGCACCATTATTCAACAGGAAGATTTCCCATTTTCGGAACGTGGGGTTTGCCCTGATTTGATTATGAATCCTCACGGTTTTCCAAGGTAACATATTTGTTTTTGTTGTATTCTCCCTCTAAAAATATCATGATTAACATAGTAGAATTTGTGAGCTGATGCTTCAAATGTAAGGGAATTTCTCATTGAAAGCTGCTATTTGGTACCGAATGAAATAAAGCACGTGTCTTAAAAGGAATATATGGAGCACTGAAGTACAATACTGCATAATCTCAATGTTAAAGGTTTCTTGATTTTTAAAACTGACTACACAGTCACACTCACATGCAGTGTTATTAAAAGCGCGCCTAGGCGCGAGGCGCGCACAGGTGCAAGTTTAGTGTCTCTTGTTGCCACAGGCACAGCGACCTTCATTAGGCACGTCCCTGGGCTGCGCCTTGGGCTTTTTGTTAGGCGCTCCTCATATATTTGTCTCTACAGTTTCCCTTTTATGTGCTTTACTGCTTTGTATGAAACAAAAAAGAATAAAATATATAAAGCAACTGAAGAGTCAAAGAAAAGAAAGAGACGTGAGGGAGTGGGAAAGAAAAGAGAAAGAAAGGAAGCAGGTGCAGGTGCAGTTGCAGCGACAAAGACAAAGCCCTAGCCGACAAAACAGAGCACAAAAACAAACAACAGCAGGAATGTTAACCCAAAATGCAGGAAATAAATTAGTCAAAAAAAGAAAAATCAAGAAGAGTGAGAGACAGAGAAGAAGAAGACACAGAAATGGACAGCAAAAAATATATATTTTTTTCCTGAATTGGATTTTTTATAAAATTTTTCAAAAAGTACATTTACAATAGGAGTAAAAAACTCCAATACAAAGGAGGTAATGGACAAACCCACAAACCACCAAATTAACTTATCCTTAGATAATCAAACAACAAACCAATAAATAACCTAAAACAAAGAAGCAACACATAATAACCACTGTGCCCTGCTCCACATGCTACTTCTAAACATGAAACCCAAGAGACAACCCTCAAGTCTCAACCATTCTGAACCATCATGACAAGACAAATATCCTCGGCAAAATTACTGTCAGCACCTGCTAGCAACACTTACACCAGAAACAACCAAGTGCAAGAGCAAATCTGTCATCACAACACAAAACAAACCTCAGCAAACAGTCTGCTGTCAAACTATACAACCACAAACTGAAACAGGAAAAACAATTCTGTCAGCAACCACTGCTTTCAAAACTGCACTCTGTCTTCAAACCCTCATATGTGCTTGTCCACAACTAATCAAAATCCTTGAAAATCAAAATCAGTGCCTGGAAGTTACTAGCCTTTCCTGCAAGGAACAAAACAGACTCAATCAAAAACAAAGGTGACCTCCACTTCAAAAATGAGATTTTAATCTCCAAAAATTATCATAAAATCAGCCAGACTAAGATTTAGATATGCAATTACATCCCAAATAATAGGCTGCACCACCTGATTAGGTTGATCCTGAATCCCACTATGAAACACATTGTTTCTCACAGACCAAATCTTCCAAATTGTCACTGCAAATAGACCGCAAAGAATATTTGATTTGATAGATTTTGTCACAGTATATCGAATGAACCAATCCACCACCTGATTCAAAGATACAAATCCTGGACACTGTAAATGAACCAGCTCAAAAAAATAAAAAATAAAAGAAAAGGAAATCTTTAAGAAGAGGGAGTAAAAAAAACACAGAGAAAAAATTAAAACCACTTAAGCCCCTCAGAACAAGTATTCCGGACGGGGAAAAACACTGTTCACTAGAAAAGGGTAAAAACAGACACAACAAAATAGAGAGAGAAGTAGATGAAGCGAGAGAGAAAGAAGTAGTAGTAGATGAAGAAAAGAAAGAACGAAAGAAAAAACAGAACCCCCAAAGAGAGATTGAAAAAAAAAAAATAAACTGTTCATGAGAAAAGGGAAAAACAGAGAAGAAATAGAAAGAGAAGTAGATGAAGAGAGAGAGACTCAGAGAGAAGAAGAAGTAGATGAAGAAAAAGAAAGAAATAAAAAACAAAGGCCCAGAAAAAGAAAAAAAAAAAAAAGAGAGGAGAAGAAGAAGACGAAGAAGGAAAAAGAAAAAAAAAAAAAACTGAACTTACCTGTTCACCAAACAGAGATTGATGTCGGCTAGGGCTTTGTATTTGTCGCTGCAACTGCACCTGCTTTCTTTCTTTCTCTTTTCTTTCCCGCTCCCTCACGTCTCTTTCTTTCTTTTCTTTGATTCTTCTGTTGCTTTATATATTTTATTCTTTTTTGTTTCATAAGATGACAAAACTTCCTTTTTTGGCTTTGAAAACTAAAAACTTAAGTATATAAAAAGCATACAAAGCAATAAAGCACATAAAAGGGAAACTGTAGAGCCAAATATATGAGGCGCGACTAGGCGCGTGTAATAAATAGCCCCAGGCGCGCGCCTAATGAAGGTCGCTGCGCCTGTGGCAACAAGAGGCACTGAACTTGCGCCTTGGCGCGCTTTTAATAACACTGGTTTAAATATCTTCCATTTGTTGTTTTACTTGGAGGAGCTTTATTGGTTTAATTGTGCTATTTTACTGGTTGCTTTATTGGTTTAGTTGTGATATATTTAGTGTTTTTATTACTAGATGTTCATTGTTTAATTGTGTTCTTTTTGCTGAGAATCACTCAAGCGCGTGCCTCGCGCCTAGGCTCCAAGGGACCTCTAGCGCCTCAGTGTGCCTAGCGCCTTTAATAACACTGGTCGTATGATATGAAAACGGTGCAACATTTATATGTTAACACCTCAAATCTTACAAAAGTAAGACATGGACGCGGTAGGAATGCTGCAATAAAATATATTTCATATAAGTATTATATTATGTATGATTACTACTTTAATAGTTTTTTTTTTTTTCCTAGTTGGTACTGACACGCATTTGCCTCTTCTGAGACTTGAACCCCTGACCTCCCTTTGGGAAGTAAGAGGCTGATACTGCTAGGCCACTGACCGTTGGTACTACTTTAATAGATTAAGTGTAATATGACTGCAATTTGAAATTTGTAACCTTTGAATCAGAAGAAATACAAGAGAAATATGTAAAGGCTTGAATGAGAATTAAGAAAGGGTTATATTCTGACATCTCTACACCCATATGGGCTAACATATCTTAGCTAACACTCTCCCTCAAGTTGGTGTGTGGATATCTGAGACGCCCAACTTGGACAATGCATCTTCAAACACGATATTGCTTACACCCTTCGCTAGAATGTCAGCACGATGCGGAGTGCAAATCTGACCGAAGATGATTTTTTCTCAAATGAAGTGTCAATTAACTAATCAAAGAGTCTTCTTAGATCATAAACAATCAATTTTTCTCAAATCATAAACAACTAACCATGTCTCATTTTTTTTTTTTTTTTTGATAAGTAATAATAAATTAAAAAGGGTGTTCAATAGGGGAACGCGTCCCGTAGACAAAGGAACCGGGGTTTAAGGCCCCAAAGAATCCAAAAAAGAAATTAAATCAACAGAAGAGGAACACGAACTTCTGTTCACATAACAAAAAAGAGAGCGAATAATAAAAAGTTTCAGTGTCACTGTAGACGACTCCTTCCCTTCAAACATTCTACTATTTCGCTCCTTCTAGATACACCACCAAATACAATGTGTTGCAGATCTCCATTAAGCACGAACGCTCCTACTCACACGACAACCTCTCTAAGTATGAATTAGCTCCCTAGTAGAACGTGGCATTACCCAACACATGCCAAATAGGCCAAGAATGAGATTCCAACAATCGTACGCTACAGAGCAATGCAGTAGGAGATGATCAACTGACTTCCCATCCTGCTTACATAAACAGCACCAATTAACAAGAAAATTTCCCCTTTTCCTCAGATTATCGATCGTCAGAATCTTTCCCCAAATAGCAGTCCATACAAAGAATGCCACCCTAGTAGGAACCATGGAGCACCAAATAGTCTTCCAAGGAAAATCATAGGATGCAAAATTAGACAGACATAAAAACAAGGATTGACAAAGTTTCTTACATCAAGGCAACAACACGAATAAGATTTGGGACTTGGTGCTTCACAATGGGCAGCAACTGGTGTTCAAGACGACAATGACACTGAAGGGGAGATAATAAATGACAAACCTTGAGATGAGGCTCAAAATCAAATTAGTGCAAGCCACTGGATTCATGCCCCGTCCCAATCTTTTTCTTTGTCTTGAGATCATGGAAACACAACAATAGGGATTAAAAAACTGAACACTGTAGAGACTAACTAAGCTTACTAAATACTAATATACATCAAGCTAAAGGAAAAATGAGGAACATATAAAACAGATTATAGAGATTAACTAACTAAGCTTCCTAGTAGACTTCTAGCTAAAGGAAAATTGAGGAACATATAAAACAGATATTAGAGACAGGAAAGAACTAAGACAAGTTGTTCCAAACCTGAAATTTTAGAAGAGTAACACTCTGAGAAGGAGCCACAGCTTACAATATGACATAATATGTATATTCTCACAGCTTTGATGGAATAGTTTTACTGTTATGTGGTGATAAGCTTACACTTATCTTTTGTACCTTAGTTAACATATAAAAAGTCTTTTGACATAGCCAGTTGCAGATCCAGAGTGCTGTTGTTAAGATATTATCTATTTGTAGTTGAACGGGCTGAAAGGATTCTTTTGTCCGATCATCCGGCATTCTCAAATGATTTTGTTAAAGAAAGTATATTTCATGTGGCAATTATATTGACTAGAGAGTTCAATTGGGGGAGGGTTATATCACTGGTCTCCATCAGTCAAAACATTGGGGAGGGTTGTTTTGCAGAGAGCAGTAAGAGTTGCTATAATATGGGCCAACTAGTGTGGTTGGGGATCAACAGGTTTCTTTCCATATGGTTCATCAAAAGGTACTATCAAAGTAAAAGAGGCGTTTCTTCAATCTCTGATTGCTTTGAATTGGGGATCAACAATTCTTTTAGATTAGAACTGGTCACCAACAGCCTTTTCTCCGCCACTATTTCTTAGACTTAAAAAAAAAAAAAGGGAAAAAAAAAAAATTTCTAACTGGAATACTACTAATATACTTCTTAATCTTCTTCTTCGTATTATTATTATTATTATTATTATTATTATATTTTTTGTGTGCGTGTGCGCATGCACACACCTGTACTTGATCATCTTGCAACTGGACTCTTTTCCTTGTATCCTTTAGCAACCATGAAATTCTGTTTAAGAATTACAAGAAGGACAAAGACAAATTAGAAGAGCTTAACTATGAGTGCTACAACTCTAACCGGTTACTTGATATTTTATGCATGTATGCATGTATTATTATTATTATTATTTTATTTTGGGAAGGGAAGCTACTCTTTCTGTTGCCCCAGTATAATATTCTCCATGGTGTTCAATTTTGCATATTTGTTTCTAATGTGTTTTCCTTTTCCTTTTTCAATTTTATATTCATCAATGGTTTCTGATCTTCTATTATGATCAGTCGAATGACAGTAGGGAAGATGATAGAGCTTCTTGGGAGTAAAGCTGGAGTGTCTAGTGGCAAGTTTCACTATGGCAGTGCCTTCGGAGAACCTAGTGGTCATGCAGATAGAGTTGAAGCTATAAGGTGCGTTGTTCTCCTATACTGGACACCCATTTATAGATTGTCCCTTTCTCAGTTTCTGAATACCATTTCTAACTTTGTTATAGTGAAACCCTTGTGAAGCATGGCTTTTGCTACAATGGCAAGGACTTCATTTATTCAGGTTTTTCTGCTTCCTCTAAAGAATTATTAGATATCAGATATTTAGAAGAATAGTTATCATTTTGGTTACTCATACCGTCTTTCCCTCCCCCCCCCCCCCCCCCAAAAAAAAAAAAAAAAAAAAAAAAAAAAACCTCCCTCTCTCTCCATGTCCTTTTCGCTCTTCCTTGTTATCTCTATCAATGTAAGACTGCTTTGCATATGCCCCCACCCCCTTTCTCAACAAATGTAATATTTTGATTTCTTTCCTACTTGCTTCAATCTGCTTTGTGTGCGAAATTTAAATAGCTTTCTGGAATTCTTTTAATTTATTCATCTGTTTTTACTTTAAAGAACCCTATTTGCTTTAATTTTGGTACTAAAATAACTAAAGAAACATAGCATGTTTCAGTGAGCTCACCTCATGTTCAATGAAATTACCGCAAGGACCTTAATATAATTTCGAGTAGAGATTATGCAGCAACTAAGAAGTCTCATAATCAATATATTCACAGAGCTGTTGCCTTATTTGCAAGATCAAATACTATGTGAAGATCAGCCCTAGTTTGATATTTAAAAAAAATAGTTTAAATGTTATTGTCAAGATCAGCTTAAACTATTTCTTGAACCACTCAATCTCTTTTCGGGTGCTCTGGGGTCTGCCTTCCCATGGAAGGTTGCATGGCATTCAAAGGCTCCCCTCAAGATGGCCTTTTTTGCTTGGACAGCAGTGTTGGGTCAGATTTTGACTTTGGACAACCTGAGAAAGAGGAGACAGGTCACTGTTAATTGGTGCTGCATGCACAAGAGAGATGAAGAGAAGGTTGATTTTTGAATGAATTGTGCATGCTTACTTTTGAGTGAGCTCCCAAGACCGAGACTATTGGTGGGTGGCTCCCCTATGTGTTTGGTGGCGCTTGTGGACGGAGTGGAATAGAAGATCTTTTGATGGAGAGGAATCTTCTATTGGCACACTGAAGTTCTCTATCATTTGCTCTCTTTTTTGTTGGGTATTTGGGAGATATTGTATATCATTAAGAGAGAGGATTTTTTGGGCTTTTTTGGTTCTTAGGACCCTATTTGGTCCTTGTGTAGCTTTCTTGGGATGCGTTTCCCTTCTGAATGCCTTCTAATACAATCTTACTTATCAAAAAAAAATATATCTTTTCTTTCTTTCTTTCTTTTCTTTTCTTTTCTTTTCTTTTTTTTTCAATACATTATTGACCAGATGATGATAAAGAAAATTAAATAATTAGCAAATAAATAAGTAAATAAAATATAAGTTCACCATCCTGCCTTGTCATGTACTAATGAAAATTTAAACAAAGCTTTATTTTATATGCAAATTTGGATGCTCACGATCTGTGATGAACTTGATATTTCATAGTCATGGCCTATTAATGAATGATTAAAATACATCATTGTATTTGGATTTCATGACTTTTTTTTTTTCTTTTTTTTTTTTGTCTTACATGCTAAAATTGGTAGCGTCTTAAGTTTTGTGTTTTAGTCATTATTCTTTTGGAGCATTGTGCATCAGTTATATTTGTATTTTCAATTGATAATTATTTTCAAGCTTAATTGGGGACATCACACATGACCTAAATTAAATTTCAATACATTTTATCCAACATACAATGGAAATATGGGGTTTTATCTAGTGCCACGCTACATTATCCATGTCGCTTAGTAATGAATATATAACATGGAGATTACATAATAAAAGTAGACTCCTAAATTTAGGGAGTACAAATATCCTTGTGTTGACCCGCCCATATTGCGTAGATATTGTCCACTTTTGCACTCTGTGTTCACGGATTTCAATTGCGTTTACACAATTAGGGTTGTCCACACATATAAGTCTCATCTGCCACGGCTGGCCAACACCGTGTAAATATTGTCCGCTTTGGACACTCTTCATGCTCACAGTTTTCAAAACTCTTCTACACAGGTAGGGGTCTCCACACAAATAAGTCTCAACTACTTCTCCTCCCCAGGTAATGTGGGACGTCACAATCCATGCATGTGTATTTACCCCAAAAACTAGCGGTTTGAGTTTTTCCATCAACAAAAAATAAAAGTAAAGGCTATATGCAGTGCCATCCTAAACTAATTGAGAATAGACACACATATAATATTATTGAAGATTTAATGGAGGAATCAGTGAAGGAAAATCTTTCAGTAATTGATGTTGTTTCCTATTATTGAAGATTTGGTATTACTAGAGGAGTCAATGGCGAAAAATCCTCCTTGTTTCATTTCTCTCTACTTCTATATCATTATTTACAACATGGTATCCGAGCCTAATTTCTCTTCCTAGGTTCGGACCCCTATTTTGGGGTATTCCCTTAGCATCTGAAATGTTGCTAAGGGCTTCTCGGTGCTCTTTTTGACTTGTTTGGGCTGCTGGTTTGTTCGGCAGTAATGTTCTTGACCTTTGCCATGTCTCCGGTAGTTTTTATCAACTTGTTTGGGCCGCTGATGTGTTCGGTAGCATTGTCTTCGTCTTTGCCGTGTCTCCGACAGTTTTTGTTGACTTGTTTGGGCTGCCAGTGTGTTTGGTAGCATTGTCCTCGTCTTTGCCATGTCTCCGGAAGTTTTTTTTTTTACTTGTTTGGGTTGTCGGTGTGTTCGGTAGCATTGTTCTTCGTCGTCTCTCTTCTCTCTTCATCATTCACACTTCTTGTTACTCGTCATCTCAATGGCAAGTTGGGCATTCATGCTCCAACTCAAGGGGGAGTATTGACGATTTAATGGAGGAATAAGTGGAGGAAAAGCTTTCAATAATTGATATTGTTTCCTATTATTGAAGATTTGTTGTTACTAAAGGGATCAATGGAGAAAAATCCTCCTTGTTTCCAATTTTATAATTCTTTCCATTCTCATAATTTCTTCTCCTATACAAATGATTCTTCTCCTATACAAAGGAGCCTCCACCATTGTATTGTATATGAATTAAGAAAGTTTTATAAAAGTGATGTAGCCCTTTGGGCTCTTTGTGCCGTGGATGTAGGCCCTAGTGGATGAACCACATAATATATGTGTGTTCTACTTGTTTTATTTATCTCTTCGCTTCTGTTTTATGTTTTACAACAAATATCTATGTATTTCCATCTGTAACTTGGTATGTTTTCATTATAGCATCTTAAAGCTCTCAAGTCTTCTCTAGGTATTACAGGTTTGCCTCTCCAAGCATACATATTCATGGGGCCAATTTATTACCAAAAGTTGAAGCACATGGTGAGACTCAAATCTTAGTGTTCTTGCCTCTTAATGCACCACATTAGTTTATGATAGTTGTGTTCAGATTTCTGCTGCTACCACTATATTTCCTTTTTTGAACAAAAAAAATTTAAATTATATATCTACATTTAGTTGAAAGTTTTCTTCTTTAATGCATGCATATTTGCTAAATGCAGGCTTGAAAAAACTGTTCGAAGCAACAGGATAGACTGGGTACACATTTAACCCAATTTTCCATGAACCTACTGCCTTAAAGGACCTAGACCTATGCTTAAACTTGTCAACCAAAGCTTTTATCACTGCACTAAAGAATCGCCTTTGCATACAAAGAGACATTCATTATTTGTGCACAGAGTTTTCATAATTTCATTGTGCATGCATTAGTTGTGAATTGGATAGGTATGATTTATTTATAAGCCTTCCATAAATCATCAATAACATAAGCTATTGCTGTTTCATTCTGAAGACTAACTGATATCCATGTTTCAATTTAGCACTGTCATACTTTTTTTCCTTCCATTCACGCTTTATTTAACAGTAAGAATATATATTTAAATTGTAGAAACGTCTATGGTATGTTGAACGCTTGTCCAACAGTGATAGAGATTTGTTGGTATCCATTTAAAAGTGGTTGAGCTTCTTAGTTTATTGTTTCTCCCACAATTGTTAATAATTTTTCTCATAGTGTTAATGTTAATGTCATATGCTATGGTCAGGGATCTTATTCTAATAATAAATACATGACACTTCATTTTCTATAAAACATAAATGACAATCATTACAAAACTTGGATTGACATTTATTTGTTTGTTAGCCATCACACTAGGTCATCGTTGCCATCATCTAGTCTTGGTCCCATGATGGCAGCCCAAATCTTACACAATCGCCCTATTACACAAGCGTGCCACATCAGTGTAACATAAACATTTTATGGATGATTTTTTTCATTAAATTAATATTTTACCTTCTTATTATTTATTCCTGTAATTTTAATGATAAATAGGTCCTAGATAAAATGCATGCTCGAGGTAGCGGTCCTCGTGTCATGATTACTAGGCAACCTACTGAAGGGAGAAGTCGGAATGGAGGTTTAAATTCTTTCATCCTCAAAATGTTGTTATTTTACTTCCATTCAAAGATAATGTTGATGAAAAAATTTGACATTTTTCAGGATTGCGGGTTGGAGAAATGGAACGCGATTGTTTGATTGCTTATGGCACTAGTATGTTGATTTTTGAACGCTTAATGATTTCTAGTGATCCTTTTGAGGTTCAGGTACGTCCGACATGTGTGCAATTTACAATTCTCTTTTCTTGAATTTATATATCACTTATATGTCTTTGCATAATTAAAGTTGTGCTAGAATAGATGAAAATCAACATTAAAATATGTTGATTAATATTGTTTGCATGGTGTTATAGAGGGATATTGTAATTGTGTCTGAAATTTTTATTGTTAATTAGGTTTCTATCCTAGGGTTTTATGTTACTCCCTCCGTCGCAATTTAATTGTCCATCTTTCTTTTTTGGGTTGTCCCAAAATACTTGTCCCAGTTGAAAAGTCCAAGTAAAATAAATTCATCTTTCCGTAAATTCCTTTCCAAGTGTTCAAATATTTCCAACGTGATACTCCCTTAAAAGGTGACAATGCATTAACTACATGAAAGGATAACTTGGTAATTTTAAAAGGTGACAAAGCATTAACTACATTCCCCCTTAAAAAGTTGTACTCCCCAAAAGTGACTACCTAATATGGGACGGAGGGAGTATTTAGGAAAGTTCTTGTTAGGGTATACTTAAACTCCAATGAATTGTAATCCTTGTCCCACAAGGAATTGATTAGTGTTGACTTTAAAAGATAATCAAATCAAAGAGTAAAGTATAAGAAGAAGAAGAAGAAAAAGAGAAGAAAGAGGATGAGAGAAAAAGAGAAAGAGATGGGGAAAGAGAGAAAGAATGAAAGAATACTTTCATCCTTCCACCACATTATATTTATAATAATAAGGTTCAAAAATTACACATAAGCCCCAACATTATATAAGTAATAATAAATAAACCCTTGACAACATTCCCCCTCAAGCTAGTGCAAAGATATCTTTCATGCCCAACTTGACTAACATATTTTGCAAGCAAGTCTTGCTCACACTCTTAGTTAAAACATCAGCAACCTGATCATGTGTGCTGACGTATGGAGTACAAATCAGCCCAAGATGAAGCTTTTCCTTGATGAAGTGCCAATTGACTTCAATGTGCTTTGTCCTGTCACATTGAACTAGATTATGTGCATCCTTGTTGTCATAATACAACTTCATTGACTCGCGAATAGGATAACCCAACATCGTTCGTAGTCATAACAACTCACAAACTCCATGTGCCATGGATATGAACTCAGCCTCTACACTAGATCTAGACCCTGCCCAATCAGCATCATTATAGGCTTCAACACGCAAGTGGCCATGAAAGCCAAACAATATCCCCTTACCAGGTATACCCTTGAGGTAGCAAAGAATATGATAAGTTGCCTCAAGGTGAGGTGTACGTGGAGCATGCATAAACTGGCTAATCATATTTGTTGCCCAAGTATTGACTCGGGAGGGAGGGAGGGGGGGGGTGATTAGGGTCTATGACAAACAATGACCAATTTTCGGTTTTAATTGTTTTGCAAAATCTAATAAACAGCTTATAACAATTATGCAATAATCAGGAAATAAACAAAAGCAATTAATAGCACAATTGTAAAAAAAAAAGAAAAAGGAAGAGAAATGCAAACACTTGACACAACGATTTAGCGAGGTTCGGTAACTCCTACTCCTCGGCTCAAGATCCCTCTTGAGACTTTCCCAATCCCACTATGGCACCTTCTTACGGGTGGAGAGCAAATTGGTACAAGAAGCACAACACTTCTAATTCTTCTTGCTAAGAGAACAATCCTCTCTTAGACTTCTGCTGGATCACACCGATCCTTATAATTGATTGTAGCTAGAAATTTGTTGCACAAGAATATATCTCTCAAAGATTGATATGCAAATCAAAGCTCACAACTAGAGTATAAATGAATACAAATGAAGCTCAATACCCTACGAATGATATGTATGAGAGGATGAAGAAGATGAAGAACAAAAGCTCTTTGATTCTCAAGAAGGTTTCTCTATTTCTCTCCAATGCATACCCACAATGTCCAAATAATGTGTATTTATAACCCCTTTGAAAAATTTAGCCGTTAAGGGGCAATATGGTAAGTTCCCATGTAGTTTCTACCCGTTGGGATACTTTCAGTAGGTCATCTAATCGATTACATTAGTAGTCTAATCAAGTACATTAGATCTAGATCTCATCTGATCTATTACATGTATGATGTAGTCGGTTACATTAGATCTGAAACTGCATCTGATCGAGTACATGTTTCATCTGATCGATTACTTGGACTCATCTGATCGATTAGATCAGGAAGTAGTCAATTACATGGTGAAATACGGTCCAAGAGTGTGCTCACTGTTTTGAGCATCTGATCGAGTACTTGGTAATCGGTTAGATGACAGAATGAAAAAATGGTTTTTATCTGTTTTGGCCATCTGATCGATTACTTCAGCAAATACTTATTTTCATTGAAAACATTCAAGTAAATGTCCATTTACTTTAAGTTTACAATGTAAATAAGGAAGTACCCCCACTTGGATTCAATAAAAAAAATATAAGAAAATTAAAATCCAACTAAATCAAAATGTAAAAAATCAGTTTTAGTACAAATTGGGGTTCCCGACAGTTTTTGTAAAACTTGATCCTCCATGTAGGCCTATGTAGAATTGATGAAAAAATCACATAAAATCAGTTTAGGCTATTTGAAGTGTAAGGAGTAATTATCGGAAAAAATTATTTTGAAAATATCTTTATTTCAAAAAATCATATTTTCCATACTTGGCCAAAAAACCAAAAGACAGTTTTTCATGACAAATGCCCGGATCGTAAAGTCATTTACCAAGTTATGGTAACAAAGGCTTTGTAGATGAAAAAGTAAGTTCAATGCCTCAGACTCTACTTTCTAGAGACGAAAATAAAACATATGATTAATGTACATGGTCCTATCATTTCTAGCTCAAGTGATGAGTTCTTTCCAAGCTTATGCGAGCTTGAACTCACTCATTCTTTAGCAATGATTTCATGTGTCAAATATATATGCGATGAAGTGCATAGTCTATTGCTAGTGGATATAGGAACATGTGAATGATGATATGATATGCATGGTCCTACAGAGATGATGAGTTTCAAATGGATTCATAAATACTTTGACATTGAATCCTAAACACTCACCATATTATCTACCCCTTTCTTCATGCTTTGTCCATGATTGTTTAGGCTTTGAGGTATTCTTGCTTTCTTCACTTCTTTGAGTTGGTTGATTGTTCATTGTAGTCCAAGCTATCTTTGGATGGACTTGCATTTGGTTTCTTGCAACTTCAGGTCTCTTTGCATTCATTTCTTTCCATTGATGTGGCCTTCATTGCTTCATTGAGGTCATTCTTGTAATATGACTTATCTATAACACTCAATGTAAACATTAGTCCATACACACCATTAATGTTTTGTGATCATCAAAAACACTAGATTGTCCTTGGTTAAAGGCTTTGTGCCAACAATATTCACAGCGTAGGCAATATCTGGGTGCGTGAGAGATAGATAAATCAGTCTCCCAACCAATCGTTGAAATCTCCCCACATCGTCTAATGGGTCTCCATTTACATCGTTAAGCCTATGGTTTTGCTCAATGGGAATGTCAGTAGATCTAGCTCCAGGCTTGCCTATTTCAGCCAAAAAATCTAACACATACTTCCGTTGAGAAATGAACACCCCTATCTTCGATTTGCATACCTCGATGCCCAGAAAGTATTTGAATGATCCGAGCTCTTTAACCTCGAACTATGTCCCCAAGAATGACTTCATTCAATGAATCTCATCTAATCATTTCCAGTGATAACAATATCATCAACATATACAATAAGGGTATGATCTGCCTGACTCTTATGTGTACCCTACTCTTTTCACAGCAGTGTTGAACCTCTCAAACCAAGCGCGTGGCGACTGTTTTAACCCATACAAGGCTTTATTTAGCTTGCACACTATATTCTGACCATTGGCAAGCTTAAACCCTGGTGGCATAGTCATATACACCTCTTCCTCCAAGTCACCATGAGGGAAAGCATTTTTTACATTCATCTGATGTAAAGGCCAATTCAAATTAGTTGCCAAAGAGAGGACACATATAGAGTTTATCTTGGCAATTGGAGCAAATGTTTCCAAATAATCAATCCCATAGGTCTGAGTAAAGCCCTTTGCAACTAACTGGGCTTTATATCTCTCAATTGTTCTGTCTGCATGATACTTTATTGTGTAGACCCATTTGCAGCCTACTGGTTACTTACCCTTAGGTAATGGAACAATATCCCAAGTACCATTCTTCTCAAGGGCCTTCATCTCTTCAAGCATGGCTTCCTTCCATGGAGTTTGATTGATAGCATCTGAAACACTAGAAGGAACAGATACAAAGGAGATACACGAAGTGAAAGCACAATATGTTAGAGATAAGGCATCATAGGATACAAACTAAGATATGGGATGTTTTGTACAACTACGAACACCCTTATGATATGCAATACGAACATCAAGATCAATATGAATACTATTGGGAAAAGAATCAGGAGTATCAATGTCAACTGAGGAATTACCTGGATCGAGGGAGACTTCTTGGTCCTAAGGTGAGTCAATGGCTTGTTTTGCCCTCCTAGTGTAGACAATTGGCTGCAAATCAGTAGGTAGGAGGACCAGACATAGGCACCTCAGTAAGAAGCTCCCCCTGAATGGGAAAAGGAAAAGGAAAAGGGTATTCCCTCTTAATGGATGACAAATTCTCTACTTGTATAGTAGTCTCCCCCTGTAGAGAATCCCGAACAGTGGAAAAAAAGGAATAGACTCAAAAGAATGTAAAATCCATGGAGACAAAGCGACGACGAGTGGTAAGGTTATAACACCGTTACCCTTTCTGAGTGGCGGAGTATCCAACAAAGACACATCGGATTGCCTTAGGGTCTATTTTGTCCTTGCAATGATGAATGTGAACATAACAAACACAACCAAACACTTTCAGAGGGACAGTGAACAAGGCAGTGTGATGGTGTAAGACATAGAAGGGGGATTGATAGCCAAGAACCTTAAAAAGCATGCGATTGATAAGGTATGTAGTTGTTAAGGTTGCATCAGCCCAATAACTTTTAGGCACTCCCATCCCAATTAGAAGAGAACGGGTCACCTCCGTAATATGACAGTGTTTTCTTTCAGCTACACTATTCTTGTGTCGTGTATCGACACAAGTGGTTTGATGGACAATCCCGTTATCAGCAAAAAAGGAGGCACGACCACTATACATAAACTCTCCTCTGTTTTCAGGTCGAAGGATTTTGAGGGGACAACCAAACTGAGTGCATATCATCCTATGAAAGGTTTTTTAAAATGGAATGAACTTCGTATTTGGTTTTCATAAGATGAAGCCCAGTATTTCGACTAAAGTCATCAACAAACACAACAAAGTAACGAAAACCAAGTAATGAAGTAGTAGATTCAGGACCCCACACATCATAATGAACAAGCTGCAAAGGAGCTGTACTTTTATTAATACTAGTAGGATAATAAACACGACATTGTTTGGCAAAATGCATGTTTCACAATTTAACTCAAAAGATTCAACAGAGGCAAACTGGGGAAGCATAAGCTTCAAAACAGGAAGAGGTAAATGACCTAGTCTATTATGCCATCGCATTAACAGATCTTTATTGGCATTACTATTCCTAACACTAGATTGATTTGCAACATAATAAGAAGTTGGCCTCGCGTTCAGCAAATACAAGCCATTGTCCTCACATCCACTTCCAATCGTCTTCCCCGTATCCAATTCCTGAAACACACTGTGAGATAGAAAAAATGTTACACTACAATTCAAGCCTTTTCTAATGTGACCAACAGAAAAGAGATTATTTGTAAACTTTGGGACATGAAGAACAGAGGTTAAGGTAAGATTAGGAGAGGCAGAAACAGTGCCCTTCCCCGCAATGGATGTAAAGGTGCCATCAACCACTCTAACCTTATCTTTACCAGAACATAAGTTGTACGAAGAAAAATTAGATGTCATACTAGTCATGTGATCAGTGGCTCCTGAATCAATGATCCAGGGTGGCCCACCAGATAATGTGGAAACCTGATGTGCCAAATGAGAGGTACGTGTTTGAGCGAAGTTATAGGTGGAAATGGAGGCATTTTGAGCTAGTAGATGTTAAAGAGCATCAAGTTCATCCTCGGACAAAGAACTTGGTGGCCCTGAGGAGACATGACCAGTAGTCTCACGCTCTGCAGTATGTGCCGTAGATACCCTAAATGGACCAGGCCTTGGCCTAGCATTCGCATGTGCATGAGCTGGAGGCGTAGGGCGACTGTGTAGATTCTAGCATGTTTCTTTAGTGTGGCATGTACGCCTACAGTGATCACACCTCAACTTGCTCGTCATCCTGCTTCCCTTTTTTTGGAGGATTGGGCTTGTTCCATTATTGTGTGGCAAGAGCAGACCTCTTAGACAATGGTACGTCTAACTCAGGGTTAGCGTATATAGGTGCAAACATAGCCTTCATTCTACTCTCCTCAGCCTGGATATACGAAAACACATCTCTAACAGAAGTAGGGGTTGGATACCTGCCTAACACTTGTACCCTGGCATGCTCGTATCTCGGATGTAGACCACCTAAGAACTCATAGTTCGATTCATTTCTACTATAGCACAAAATGCTTTAACATCAACTGCACACGTGTATGTAGTCTTGGTAATGTGATCTAAGTCTTCCCATTTACCATGTAGAGTGTGGTAATATGTAGCAAGAGTTTTATCTTCCTACTTGAATCTTGATATCTATTGTTGGAGTTCATACAGTTTTGCAAAATTACCAACCGAGGAATACGTCTCTTCTACAGCCTGCCATAGCTCTTTAGTTGTTTTCATAAACAGAAACCCTTTGTTGATCTGTGGCTACATTGACTGCAACAACCACGTCATAACTAGTGCATTATTTGTACTTCACTCTTTGAATTCAGGATCACTCTTGGAGGGATACGTGACAGTCCCTTCGATATGGTCGATCATCCTTCGACCAGTGATATGCATACGAGCAAATTGAGCCCACTCCATATAGTTCGTCTCATCCAGCCTGACAGTTGTAATACGAAGGCTTGGATGGTGATCACCACTACCTCCCAATACTGGAGTCAAACTTGGGGAAGACCCAGCTTCTTTTAAAGTCACATCTGAGCCAGACATTTTATCAAACAGTTTCTAGGTATTAATCCTCGAAAACAAAAACAACGTCAATTACGTAGAGAACCACCTCTGTAACACACAAACTTCAACTAGAAAGATTACCGTCTTCTGAGATGCATAAAAAAGCGACCACACAAACCCTAGAAAGCAACAAAGTATACCATACTAGTATCGTGAACAACGAAGAAAAAACCGTTGTTGCAGAACCTCGCGAACACAAAAAAAAAAAAACACCAATCGAGACTGCAACACATAAAAAACAGGTCCAATTTTTTTTTTTTGCAAACACTACTTCCTTGCAAACAAATCCCATATTGAAATCTCTTCAAAACCCTTCACACCCACTAGGGTTTACACAAACTTGCCCTAGGGTTTACACCTAGAGCTTTACAAACCTTGCTCTGTTACCATGTTAATTTTAAGAGATAATCAAATCAGAGAGTAAAATATAAGAAGAAAAAGAGAAGAAAAAGGATGAGAGAAAAAGAGAGAGAGATAGGGAAAGAGAGAGAGAATGAAAGAATACTTTCATCCTTCCACCACATTATATTTATAATAAGTTTCAGAAATTACACATAAGGCCCAACATTATATAAGTAATAACAAATAAGCCCCTGACAACAATTAGAGCTCTATAAATAGATACCTAGGATAATAGTCGAGACTTGTGAGAGTGAGAGAGACATTATCTCGTGAAGGATAGTTAGGTGAGAGTTACAACTCCTCCACCTCTCACTACCTGTGGAGATGTGGTTTACGGTTGGTACTGGAGAGAGCTATCATCTTTCGACAATGCAATGATTGTAAAGGACAGAGACAAGTCCGTAGAAGTTGTCTCCGAAGAGAGAATCACGACAAAAGAACTAGACTTGGACATTGGTGAATCTTCCAATAGGTAAAAAGGTGATTGGGTGCGAGGGGGTGTTCAGTTGCAATGTCATAGCTAGAGTGCAATTCACTTAGCTAATAACCAAACGTGTTATGCAAGGACAAAGCACATAGACGTGGAATACCACAAATGGAGTTGACAACCTCAGGAAAGATTCAGTTGCAATGTCATAACTAGAGTGCAATTCACTTAGCTAAGAACCAAATTTGTCATGCAAGGACAAAGTGCATAGACATGCAATACCACAAATGGAGTTCACAACCTCAGGAGAGATACAGTTTATGAAGGTTTACACTGAGGAAAATGTATCTGACATGTTGACTAATCCTGTTTCCGCAGAAAAGTTCAATTATTATTTGGATTTTCACACATTGAAGAAGAATGGCACCTACCGTCAAAGGGGGTGCATTCAGGTGTCATGAGAGATAACCACCTTGGTGGGAGAGACTTCCAGAATTTCAAGGTGCTTGAAGAGTTTGAGTCAATGTGCAGATTTGCTGTGATGTGTTTCATACTCCTTGTTGGCTTGGGTTTCTAGTTTTTGAGTTGTTCTTGGTTTAAGGAAAGTCTTGTTAGGTTAAGCTCCTAGTAATTGTATTCCTTGTTCAACAAGGATATCTATTCCTTGGCCATCAAGAATAGGGTTAGGAGCTCCATAAGCAGTCCATGCTATGAGTCAGAGTCAAGACAGTTTCTGATATAACTTCTTGTGCTGGCGGAAACATATACACATGTGGAGATCCAATCACAAATAATAATGCAATTAGACAGGACACAAGATTTAACATGGTTTGGCACTATGCCTACGTCCACAGATGAGAGAAAATGAAAATTGAGTAACAAAAATTAAATCGTGTTTACAAGAGCACTCAATTTTCAAACCTTGCTCTCAACCCTCCCACTCAGACTCTCAACTATCAAAACTGTCCCTTATTGGAAATTCACTCTTGCAGTAATTGTAGTATTGGATTTTCTTAGTCACGCTATTAATATTGCCCAATATGTTGGTAGAACATCAGTAGAGTCTTGCTTGATATATATATATATATATATATATATATATATATATATATATATATATTGTGTGTGAGTGTGTGTGTGTGTGTGTCTTTTTACCATGGCAAGAAACACACACACACCTACTTGTCCCTACCGGGACTTGAATCCTCAACCTTCTACTTTTGAAGATGAGGAAGTACCACTAGCCTACAGCCTTTGGTCTTGCTGCAAATTATAGCCCTTGTTTTTAGCACTTCGTCTTAGCTTCTGCATAGTGAGATGTTGAACAGCCATCTCAAAGCATATACATCTGTTACTTATCCATTCGGTAATCAGCCTAGTGTTTTCTACTCACTGTAATGATTTCCTTTTATCGATAATATTATGCAGTTTCAATTTCAAAGGGGTGTGTATTTATGCAGATTGAGTATCCAATTGGTATTATAACATCGTTGTCGTCCAGCTTGTTTCCAACATGCACCAGTTTGGCACTCTTTCTTTTTTAAGCATAAGTAGAGTCATAATCTTCTAAAACTATTATCTGCATCAATTTCAATTAACATTTTCAATTATGTAATTAGTCTAAATTTTTTTAATTGTCACAGGTTTGCAGAAAGTGTGGTTTGTTAGGATATTACAACTATAAGCTGAAAACTGGCATTTGTTCGACATGTAAGAATGGGGAAAATATTTCTACCATGAAACTGCCCTATGCATGCAAGCTCTTATTCCAGGTAAACTTGACAGTTCAATGCTGATGATTTTGCATATTTAATCTGAAAATAAGCTCTTATTCCAGGTAAACTTGACCGGTCAATGCTGATGATTATGCATATTTAGTCTTCGATTTTCAGACATTCTCACATGTTCTTTGCTTTTTTGTAGCATTAAAGTAGTCATACATGGTTTTTGTAGATTTTGTACATTCTGAACTCTTAAGCATGAATAGGTGTGACCAAATAGCCCAAGGCCGGCCCAAGCTCGCTATGTGGGATAACCTGGGTCAACCAGTGCTCCCCATTGAACGGCCCTAGGCCTGGTGTCCCAGCCTGCGAGGCCCAACAGGCTGGCAGCCCATGAGTCCGGCACAATGTTTAACATTTTTTTACTGTTTTTTTTTAATAAAAACTTTAGATAATAATGCTTCCATTGGGACTTGAACTCACCTCCTCTCCTTTGGGTAGGTTGTGAGTACTCAAATCACAATCGGTTGAATATTCAGGATAAGCCTTTTAGTTTATATTATATGTTGAATATATCATGCTAATATATGAATTAGTTTATTAAGTCAACCATGCATAGAGAAACTCAAAGACCCATCCACGTTCCAAAACTTTCTTTAGTGCAGGACTTCCCAAAAATATTGAATTTTGAGTTTTTTTTTTTTTTTTTTTTCCTGTCCAAAATTATTGGATTTTGAGTATAGCCTTTAAGTCTTTTTACGGTTCAGCATTTTGCATATTTTGGTTCTTTGTTATTTGTTATCGTTTGTTTGTTCAATCCGGATATCTACTAAATTCTACTTACTCTAATGATTATTGTATATGCATCCTTATCCTCGCCAAATTATTTGAGAAAATTGAAATTTTCTATTTCTGGCTTGACAATGCAAGAACTAGTGTTGACCCGGTAGTCTTGCTTCCTGTTTCCTTGTTATTTTTGAGCCCTGTTTGTTGAAACCAGGATCTAGGGCCTGGTGGTTCAGCTTTGAGTTTTTGTTTTCTGAGAACTGAAAATCAGAAAAATGAACAAAAATCTGTTTTGTTAACAATTTCTGAAAACTTAGTTTAAAAAATGTTTGTTTTTTGTTTTCCGAGTTCTTGAGAACTGTATTTAGAAAACTGACCCAAACACTAATTTTTGAATGAATTGTGCTTGCTTGCTTTTGAGTTTTTGTTTTCTACTTTTCGAATTTGATGGATATGTAAAACAAAAAAAATGATAAAAACTATGTTTGTGGTAGTGTTGGAGGTGTATTCCTTCTCTAATGTTGTCTTGTGTTTGCCTTTGATTTTATTAATTATGTTTTTTTTTTCTTTTTCTTTTTTCAAAGGAAATTTTGGTAAAATTGGGCCAAAGGCCTTTTCTTTAACATGGCTATGTTCATGCTCTTAGGAACTACAATCAATGAACATTGTTCCTCGCTTACAATTAGCCGAGGCTTGATCTTTGGGGTTTGCCTGCTCGTACAAACTGAAGCAAATGGATGATAGGCAAGCTGCTGCGTGTCCTTCGAAAGTGCATTGGACAGGACTTCTGTGTGGAAATATGATCAGGAATAATTGATTTTTCAGCATATAAGGGCATTTTATTGGACTGAGGAGAAAACTATCAGACTGGCCTATCCTTGCAAAATCAGAAGATTGGTTCAGCATGAATGCCATTTTTGATGGATTTGATTCTTTACATTGAATTTGCAACATATTGCAAAACATAGACACGTTAAGGCTTTTCTATGCGTTGCAACTGAGTTGGTTCAAATGAATGTATAACTTGGTATCCATTTGTTGGAACTGTAAATAAACAAGATTTTGGTTTCAAATTATACAATTGAAAGAAAAACAGTATGGAGTCGAATCATTTTTTCTCTTCCTAAAATTTTAGTGCTATATTACTCTTCAAAGAATATTCTTGGTCACTTAGATGGCTCATAGGAGAGTATGTTAAGAATGTAAATTTTTGGAATTTAAATTAAAGAAATTCTGATTCTGTTGTTTGGGAGAACATCTTAGCTCCGAGGGAGTAACGTTTTTGTTTAAGAGAGAACTCTTGGATGGAGTTTGGACACCGGAGGACTAGGGCCCTCAAAACATCCTCTTTCCTTCAAACGGTTGTCAATACCAAAATAATCATTTTCTTGTAGAAGTGTGGTTAAATGCTATGGACAAGACGGTTCGCGTGCAAAAATAGATGTGATTAATTTTATAAAATTAATATATATTCATTGATTGGGCATACCAATGATGTGATATAAAATTAATATATATTCATTGGTTAGGCATAGCAATGATGTGATATACATGCGCACTGAATATATATTCCAAAGCATAAGTTCACACTCACACGGTCTTATTTTTGTATTCTTTCATTGTTTTTTATAGATTTAAAATTATAATTGACAGACTAGAACCAAGAGTCATAGCTAGACCTGTTTAAGCAGTATACACAAAAATTAATAATAATAATAATAATAGTAATAATAATTTCTTTTTTTCAGAAGTGATATTTGGCTACAGAAGTTTTTTCAGGGGCAAAAGGATCTTCTCACAGATGTATCTTATTATTTTTACACTTGCTTGCAGCATTGCCGTTTACAGCTCAAAAATTCAATGTGTGTAATAAAAATTATATATATTAAACTAAGTAAAGTAGGGTTGCAATTCGGGCGGGTCTAATTCGAAATAACCCCAGCCCAATCTGAAATTTTGTGGGCTTGGGCAATGTTTTTTTAATTTCAGTTTGGGCCTGGGCTATATATTTTGAGCCCGAATTCAATTCGGGCTGGGTTTGAGTTGATATGGATGAAGCCCGAAGTGCAACCCAAACCCGAAAATATTTTATATATTATAATTATACTTAAGTCACAATTTAGTAGCCAAGTTGTTAGTGTTCTTGGGATTTAAACTTAAAGTTTTCAGGTCATAGGTGTAACATTAATTGATTTATTTTTTACACACAAATTCTTCTGGGCTTAGTGCGGGCTCGGGCTTGACTTGGGCACCTTGGCTCGGGATTAAGGCTAGGTTTGGGCTGAAGATTTTCTATATAGACCTAACCCGAGATGAGTGCCAAGCCCGTCTAATCCGTCTGAGTTGCGGTCCTAGTAAAAAGTAAATAAGAGACAATGGTTTAGGACTTTTTGTCATTATTTTTTAAAAGAAAAGAGTGAGTGGAGATTTCCTCTCCATCATTAGAAGCCCACTCTTTTATGAGTGTTACATTTTCAAAGTAAATATATTCATGATTATTTGTACTGTGTGCAAAATTAAGTTGTATTGCATTTTCGATATAAAATAATTATTCATATTAATACCACTAACATTAAAATACAAACCTGATTGAGAAAATGGTTCACCAAATATTAATAATCCGTAATCATCTAATAATTTCTGAATTTATCTCTCGTTTTGTGGTCATGTTAGTTTTCAGCTGAAAGTCTTCGTTTAGGACTCCTAAATCACGTTTTATTACATTATAAGACGCTGATTGATTATGTAAGTTGTCTTAATGTTCTGGGAAGCGCAAGTACTGTTGTCAATGTTATAAGAGGGAAAATTGTTACATGTTAGAATATGCAATTTATCAGTTAGAAGAGAATAATTAAAACAAAAATATTACAACACACTAATAAACATTTAATATCTTACATACAACCAAAGAAAAGATGGACAATAATTTAGGACGAAAATAATGATTTAATAGACCCTAAACAATATTCACCATTCTTGCTGCAAACACACCATAGCTATCTTAAACCTTTAGGTCATACTAATTTAACAGGTCTGTGAATAAATAAACAAGTATCGCTATCAACTTTCGAAGAGTTTGAACGAAATGAAGAGTCGAAAACTCTATATCCATCATATACATTCAACTAGGAGTGACCTAAGATCCAGTTGAGTGTATTCATTAAATGAATAGTCTTCGTCTTCTAATTTCGTTCAAACTCTTCGCCGTTAATAGCATTACTCGATTTCATAAGCATCCAGAGTTAATGCTTGTCCTCACAAAACATCTTGAACGCCAGACCTGAGCCACCCAACTTCTCATCCATGACATTAGACAGTCGCTCCACCATCAATGGAGTGAAATAGTTCACCCAGTCCCCCACCTCGCCTTTCCGGAACAACTGCTCATTTGCAAAGTACGAAATGGACTTCCCGGACTTGTTCACCTCCAATTCCTTCATCTTCTCAAAACTGCACAGCCTTGATATGTCTTCAATCACTCCTCCTCTCTCTTCCTCCAAGGAAAAAGGGCATCCCAGGAATTTCGCAGTCCTTTTCAACTGAAAGGTGGTATCGTCTTTCATGTCCTCATATTTCAGAAACAACACCGTGTGGGGCTTCTCCAAGCTCTGCTTCCAGTAATCCAACATATGGTCCCAATAGGGCCCAAACCCTACAATCCCCTTGCAGTACATGTCAAATGCCTCTTCCATCGAAAAAGGACCTAAAGTTTCAGGTCTCGTCTTGCTCATGAAATGCCAAACTGAGACAAAGGTGTCAAAGGGGTTCCGACATATATACACAATCCGGCAGTCGGATGTCTTAACGGAGCCTGGCAACGAGGCAAAGGGCACGTGGGTGGCGAAAAGCCGAGGGGAAGGAAGGGCGGAGAGGTCAGGAACCTGGTTGTTTGAGTAGACCTTGTACTCGAGGAACGGTACAAGGTCATGAGGATTGTGTGTGAGCAAGGGATGGTTGTTTTGGTCACGGAAATGGTTCCGGTTCACGATTGCAAACACGAGTGCTTTCAGCCAGGTGGTGCCGGATTTTGGTATGGTGGCCACCATGACATCAGTGTCCTGTGCCTGGAAGTGTGTCTGTACTGAGACTATGGCCTGAATCTCCTTTGGCTGGCACCAGAAGCCCTGGAATAGATAGAGATGAGGAGTTCTCCAACCTCGCTCTTTCGGAAGAGAATCGAGCAGCTCTTTGCATTCATGGCTCACTTCTTCCAAGTTGGTGACACCCATTGAAAATGGTGGTGGTAGCAGAGATTTGCATGAAACTAGCTCACTCCTACTCACATATATATACAGAACCACGTTTTTTTTTTTCTCTTATAAAATTTAAAAGTAGAAAATGTAATAACAAAAAAATTTAGTGCGGGCCTGTTCAACTGAGCCCACTGTAAATCCGTGCCTGTCTCAGTGTCTTGTGTTAAATATGAAGCCAACTCAACTAATAGGCCATGTGTGGATTGATAATCTGGACAAAGACCTTTTTCTAACTTCCAAGAGAAATTAACATGAGTTAACATACACCGACATATACAGATTTGGATCGATGTTTTCTTCCTCGACAGGCTTGTCTAAATGTTTATGATGTTACTAATATAATTTTGGATTTTTTTTATTTTTATGTTGAGTTTGATATTCATTGTTGTTCACATGACTTGATTGATACCTTAATTTATTAGTGATCGGACCAAAGCAAATGTTGCAGTTGTTTTCATAGAAATCTTTATTTTGAGTTTTTTAATGATAGTTGTTTAGGGTCTATTTAGTTTTTAACTCTAAGAACAGTTTTCTGAATAAAAACAGAAAATTATACAAAAAAAAAAAAACAATTCTGCTTAGTTCAGTTTTTTGAAAATTCAGTTATAAAAAAGTCTGTTGTCAAATAACTATCTTTTATTGTTCTCTACAAACTGTTTTCTGTTCCCTAAATTTTTTAGAACTGTTTTCAGAATTATAAAACAAATAAACCCATAATTTTTTTGAAAGATTGTTTATGGAGATAGATATACATTGTTGGATTTATTTTTTTAATAATTTGATTCTTTTAAGATAGCCAATGTTTTAACATGTATCAAAGGTTGTGCGCATTACCTTAATCTTTCGAATCAAATGTTGCAGTTGTTTCTGTAGGGACCTTTGTTTAAATTTTCTGATGAGAGTATTTTAGTTTTGGATGATTTTATGGAGATATGATATACTTTATTGGACTCATTTTTTAATAATTTAATTTTTGTTTTAAGATAGTTGATGTTTCAACATGGCGTCAAAGCTTTTGTTCAGCAATTTTTTCCATTCAAGTCGACATGAAATCAGAGTCGGTGAAGTTGTAAGATTGATTTATTTGCTAGTATTTTAACAATTTTTGCAAATTTTATTATTTATTTAATTTTTGGGTACAATGGGTGGTTGGCAAAATTAATTTCGGCCATGCAGTAGCAATAGTTTGTTATTTTTTGTTTCCTCCTTATCTTGAAAGATAGATTGTCCTTTTTTTCTTTTTCTTCTTTATTTTATAATTTTTTTGGTAAGCACGAAGCATATATTGTCATTTATTTCACCAATAAAATGAAATTGATTGGTATGTGGTGTCTAGAACAGGATCCTACAAGTTAATTTTCTGTCTACTTTACCGTAGATTGAATTATTAAAGAGTTTGACACGTGACTTTCGTTGGTTGATTGCTTTTTTTCTTTTTCTTTTCATCAAAAATATATAAATAAATAAAATTATTTAAATTACAAAAAATTTAACCTATTATAAAATACTCTCATCCGTAAATGTCAATATTTCCTTACAGTAAATAGACCGAATTATTTATAAATAGTTGATATATAACTTGCTGCACGCTATTTACACATCTAAGACCCATGCTTTAAGAGACATTCTCTCTGACATAACTCTCAAGTGTTAGGGATTGATTATGATATTGTTAGATTCATTTCACCTAGCATAAATATTATTCGTTTTGCACGCATCTACACAAATTAAAGACATGAATGTGATTAGACACTGTATTGACTAATTTTCTACCTATGCATGAATAAAGATTATAACGAAATACACTAATAAATATGTATACATAATTAGTGAAAAGATTTGATAAAAAATTATAATAATAATAACACTTTCACAACATCGGGGTCGGAATGAAGAAAAAAAAATATTTATTTGCGCTGGTGGCAAAGCGTCATTGAATGCCTATCATTATCGCTGTATTCCTCATCATGACGCATTCAATGCTCTCACCTGTTTTGATTTGGACAGTAAAGAGACATAAAATAAAATTCGTTGAAATGGGAAATGTGTGCGTGTGCATATATATAAATAAAATAACAGCTGTTATGCGATGAAAAAAGAAAAAAATTATAGTCAGGATTGTTGAGGCTGAAATTCGCGCAATCTGATACGATATCGTTTTCCTATAAGGAAGAGAGGAGAAGATTGATGAACCTTGACGGCACAGGTGTGGTGCCTGTCAAAAGCTCTCCGACGATCAAATTAGTCACGGAGGTCTAAAAAGAAGGTAAGGATTAATAATAGTTTTTTCGTCGTATCTTCTTTAATGGCTTGATGCCCTATTTATGGCTGTCGATTGGAATCAAAATCGTTCCGCTGATGTCGATGGTTGACCTTATCTTCCGCTTGTGCGAAATCATAGGAGATTTATTACCAGATTTGTCGGGATATGATTTAATCCTTTTGACCTCCTCCAGTTATAGTAAGATTATTCTTACGTGTTGAACCACGTCAGATTTAATTTCATTATCCTTGAAAATGAAATCTAATCAATCTTATCGAGGGTAGGGTAGGTTTATATTTTTCCCTATCTAACTGCCCCCATTCCCAAGCTTGCACGTCTAGCTTTGGGAATGTAATAAAGAATAATACTTTTTTTTTTTTTCAACCCCGATGAACAGTACCCGTGGGTACTATTCCAGCGGGTACTATTCAAGTAAATAGTAACTTAGGGAATTTTATTTTTTTATTATTTTTTTTTTCATACCCCTGTGAACAGTACCCGCGGGCACTATTCATGTGAATAGTAACTCATGATTTTTTTTTTTTGGTTTGCACCCGAGGGAACAGTACCCTCAGGTACTGTTCATGAATAGTAATTTTTTTTTTTTTTTTTTTTTTTTTTTCACCCGAGGGAACAGTACTCTTCCTTTGATAAGGGAATAAATGAGTTTCACTCCTTAATAAAGAAATTGAACTTTACGAGTTTTACTCAGCTCACCTCTTTAATAAAGGATTTTTATTTACTATCCCTTTATTGTAAGGGGATGTCACGCCCCGATAATTCCAATAAAATCCTCCATTTATTCATATACAAATACATCAAAATACACCCAGGATCAGAAAAATTGCCCTCTCTTTTATACAAAAATCAATTTCCTCAAATATACAAAAATTCTCCAATAAATAAAATAAATCCTGTAACGCCAACTTTTCATCCTAAGCCCGTCTCTACGATCCCCGTCCATCTTCGGTACCTGAAACTGGAGGGTGGTGAGACAAAAGTCCCAGTAGGAAAAACCATAACAAGAATCTCATGGAGGTTTAATAAAACAGTTTCACAAAACATACATAATCATGTGAGTATATAGACAAAATAAATATGCATTTAATCAAAACATTTTATAAAACATTTAATCAAAACCTCCCCATGCCATTCAAGGTATAGAGAACCCTACACTGTAAAATAATATCCTCACTAAATCATCAAAGCCTCAAAGCTCCAGCCACATCTGCAACTCGCGGCCCTCTGTCTGCTCACTCTTCTCGGCTCACTCTCTCTGTCTCAACTTTACTATCTCTGTCTGCTCACCAAGTCACAAGAATGCACCTAATATATTGGCAAATTGTACACACAATTCACACTACACCGTACCATTATCAAATTGCAATAGTCAAAAGAAATCATCATAGTGGACCCCACCACCCCATCCTTATCTTTTGTCATCAGTTCACCAACTGCTTCTTTCTTTTCTTGACCACACCCACGTGAACAAAATAAGGCCTAAGAAATTTTTTTGTCCAACAAATCCTAGTAGGACCCGCGTGCACATCACAATCACCTTTCCCACCCTTTTCAATTCTTTTCATTTCACAGACAAGGAATACAATCTCACCCAATAAGCCCACGTGAAGGAAATGAAGCCCAAAAGCTTTATTGGCCACAAAGTCTTCAAGCTCCCTTTGGCAGAATACAATATATATATAGATATATAATATCAAATATAATAAGTCAAAAATAATAATGCTTCTTCCATATCTTCACATCATTCCAATACCAAAATCTTACTCCATCAGAACCCACATGTCACAATTGCTTTCTCAACCCCCCAACTCTCGACAGCCACCCATTTCCATCAACACACACACACACACACACACACATAAATATATATAATAACCACCATACCACAACTAAAAATAATTTAATAAATAAATGCTAAAGAACAAAATATTAATAACCCAAAGTCACCAATAAAAATTAAATAATCAATCTCTAACAACTAAAAATTATGAGATAAATATAAATTTAAAATCAGAAGAATTCGGGTTATCACAGGGGATATTAATTACGGGATTCATCCAACCCAGGTCCTTGTAGTACAGGATATTCATTTACTATCCCTTATATTACGGGGATATGGATTGCGGGATTCATTCAACCCGGGTCCTGATAATACAGGATACTTATCCCTTATAGTCCGGGGATATGGATGACGGGATTCATTCAGCCCGGGTCCTTGTAACACAGGACACTCATTTACTATTCCCTTATAGTACGGGGATACGGATTACGGGATTCACTCAGCTCGGGTCAGGACACTCATTTACTATCCCTTATAGTACGGGGATATTGCACGTATAAACTAAAAAGAATTTTATTAAAGACCATCATGACAAAAAACAAAATAACACGTGATGGAGCTACCCTCCATTTAAAATAATTAACTAAGATGCCCCCAGTCTTTATTGTGAATGACTTGATAAGGCTAATTCCAGCCGCAAGACAATTTCTAGTCGGTATACTCATCTGAGTCATTCTCATGATATATGTTGTCACTCTGGCTGAAGAACGATTTCTTATATTTGGTATTATTTTCATCCCTGGCGAGAGGGGCTGGCCTCTTCTTGTCCTCTCCTTCCTTCCGTGCACTCATGGTGTCTTCAGCGTTGATGTGTTTTTGCGCTCTGACCAGCAACTCTATCATGCTGGTGGGAGGTTCTTTTGATAAGGAGAACAAGAATCTGGAGGTTTGGAGTCCTCTTATGAAAGCGGTCA